TGATTTCCAGGTTCTCATTGCCAGTTTCCTCAAAGTTTCCACTTACGCACTTTAGTGCCTTACCAGCTTCACATTTGACCAGACCTTTATTATATTTCCCATTCCAAAAACCTGGACTTCATGTTCCCAGGATAAAGTTAATTAAAAAAAAAAACCCTCTCAATTGCTTGGGATTTTCCAATGCTTTACAAACTTGAAAAAAATGCATAACTTCCCTGGGAAGTTCATGTTTTAATGGGTTGTTTCATTTGAAGCTTTTACTCATACCCAGGTAGAAAGAGCCTATTACTGAGAGAGTATTACCTAAAGAGTGAATGTGCATGTGGATATAAAAGCCCATAAAAACTGTATACTTTTGGAGTACCTTATCATGGAATGAGACGAAACATTACAAAAGTGTCTGTACACTACGGTTTGAAGAAAAAGGGTTTGAAATGAAATAGAATTGTGTCCACTTAAAGGTAATATCTACACTATTAATCACTAGCCTTATCCTGGTTGTTATTATGTGGTACTGCAGAGTATCTTCCAAAATAAATAAATAAACAATGACCCAAGAAATGTAAAACAGAGAGCCATAAAACAGAAGCACTTTTCACATGACAGTGGAGACTTAAGTCTTCTCCCATAAGGCCATATTTTCATAATAACGCAATAAAACGATTGCTTTAACAGATGGATGTAAATGCACTGGCTACTCTCTACTTGTCTCTACAGAGCTGTATCTTTAAAATCCATTCTCTTCTCTCCTTTGCAATAACAGGATCCTTTGAGAGCCTTTGAAGCTAAGTTCCATGTCAAAGCCATTAAGATATTCCAACCAGGTGCCATCTGAGTTATCTGCATGTTTAGTTACTGATCACTGTTGTTGTTGGTCAGTTGTTTCAGTTGTATCTGACCCTTCATGACCCCATTTGGGGTTTTCTTGGCAAAGATACTGGAGTAGTTTGTCATTTCCCTCTCTAGTTCCTTTTACAGATGAAGAAACTGAGGCAAACAGGGTTAAGTGACTTAAGTGTCAGCTAGTAAATGTTTGAGGTTGGATTTGAACTCAGGTCTTCCTGACTGCAGGTCCAATGCTTTATCCACTGCGCCACCCAACTGCCCAATGATCCTATTACTATATATAGTTTTAATATGGCCTACAATTAGTGGACATCACAATAATGTGGTTTCTTTCCACATTAGAGAAGCATAAGAAATGTGCTATGTTATGATGAGAATGGTAATAACAGAGTAACTACCTTTCACAAAGTTAGCCCCATCACCTGCTCATATGACTCTCTGAGGTCTAAGATAAGGAAGCAACAAGTTAATTCAGTAGTTCAGTTGAAGTCAATGAATGTGGGAGATCAGTCAACACAGTTGTCGGATGTTACATAGTAAAAACAGTCAAGGGATCAACTGCAGTTTTCACTTTTCTACTGGATGCTTTGACATTGCAGAGCTACTGTCTTCTAGACAAATATTTGGAGCATAACAGACTTTGGAAGCTATGGCTAGTAACCTTCACACAATGACTCTCCTACCACCACTACAACTATCACTCTACCTCATCACTCAACAAATTTTTTTTTTCCAGCAGGAAAAAAAAAAATCCTTCCAAAAAGATAGGCCAATCATAGAAAGCTTTAATGTGAAAATTGACAGCTAAGGAGGGCTTGAGGCTTCTCTACCACAAACTGCCCCAAGACTGTAAACTTATGGTATATAATTATGATCCTTCTAATACTTTTTCGGCAAAGGAATACCTTTAAAACAAAAATCTACTGTACAATGCCAATATACGAAGTACCAAAAAATGCATTTTTAAAATGTAGCTGCAATTAATAGTGGCTTCAGAAATAACCTTAAGATAGATAGAGCAAACCATCCAGTGGAGATGAACTCCAAAACTTACCACACCAAAAATCAAATTATTCAATCAAACAATTGAGGGAAAAATAAGCCAGCAAAACTACTAGTTTTGACCAACTAAACCACTGCTTGACCAAAATGATTGATCCAATATTACACAAAGGGAGAAAGAGAAGTTCCAACAAGTCATCATTGCTTATGGTGAAATAATCTATGGTACAGATGGAAACACAGTGGCCAAATGCTTATTTTCAGCTTAATGTCTGAATCATAAAAACATAACCTTCCAATTATTCACAGACACAACTGTCTACCTTCAAAGCAATAAGTAAAGTCATACATTTAAAATTGGAAGGGCCCAGAAAAGTCATCTGGTACAATATTCTCTTTTTTAAAAAATTAGGCAACTGAGGCCTAATTAAGATTAAGTGAGCTGCCCAATACCTGTCATACTAAGTGACAGTGCTAGAATTCAAACCCAGACCTCCGCCTCCAAATTCAACACTCTTTGTACTGAACAGAGGTGCCTCCTTCATAAGTATTAGCTGAAGCTTCTACTTCAAGCAAGGCTCAGCAAATGTCTTGCTGTGCAGACATGCCAACTTCATCCTCATGTGTCACTGATGTCAATGAAGACCTCAGTAAAAATGTTGCAAAGCCAATCCTGTAACAGTAGAGGGTTAATCTATAATTTCCAATAGTTCTTTGATTTGCCCCAATGCAGATTACCATTGGCCAGTTCAGAGAGGTACCACTCCCTGAGTGTTAGTCTGACTCAGTTTGAAAGAAACAGAAATAGAAGAAAAAATTAATTCTGTACTAAAAAAATAAACAGATAATTTTACTTGGAGAATAGTTAAAAAGGGAGTATAACAGTCAGTAGGGTTTTTTAAGATTTACAAAGCAAAATTAACTTTGCCAGTAGAGCCTCCCCAGCCTCTGGGTTTTGAGATATACTTCAAGGTTTAAAACGTAAATAATCAGAGACAAACTGCTGGCACGACATATTAATTTATAGCATAGTTAGAAGTAAAAGGTTACTCATACATTTTGGTGAACTACAGATATTGTTAATGTTTTTATCTCTATTAAAACCATCACACTCCAAGATTAAACACCTGAACATAACATATATAGTATTGCTTTTAAAAGCTTAAAGTAATGAAGCAGTTAAGATTTTTAAAATTTAGTCAAAAATAAAATCTGTTAGTGAAGTTCTTTAAATTACATTTTAAATCCCCAGTTTCCTCACCTGATTTCCTCTCTTTGTAAAAGTGATTTCTACCAGAAAATTTTTGAAAGTTCTAGTACAGAATTAAACCAAGAGAGATAAATAGTTGCAAATTAAAACAAAATCCCTCTATGGTTTTATTTATTGACCTGGTTAAATGCATGCAATATTTAGGTTTATAGCAAAAAAGATAAACATAGGATTTATTTCCAAGTGAGAATGAAGTCTGACTTTTAACCTGTCCATACAATCAGTGCTCAATATATCTGGTCATCACTTTAGTAATTAAAGTGGCAAATCACAACCATGCTGGATTTACATCCGTGTGCAAAAAGGGGGGGTGGCATATAGCAGAGGAGCAGAAATGGAGGAAATGTCTCTTTAACAGATTCTTTCAGGAATACTTCTATGGGAAGTATTGGGCTTTCAAACAGTCATAAAAAGCAAGAAACAGTTGAACAGTGGCACCCAGAGGTGAAAAGTGTATTGCTCCTAGAGATTTATACTATTTGCCTTAATCTGTTTCTCAGCCATCCCTTCTGTCATTCCAAGATTTTTTTTTCTAGTAACATATGCCAGAAATTGGCTTTTCCTCAGCTGTAAGTTGAAAGAACATAGTGAAGCTTAGAAAAAATAACTTCATTTTAGAAATGTCTTGCTGCTGGATAAAGGTACATACTGATTTTGTACAATTTCCCTCTTCAAAACAACAAGCAATCACAAGCTAAGTCCATTATACCCAATCCTGCTCTAAAACAGAATACACGTTAGTGTGTCCTCCTCTCTTATCCAAGGAGGTCCACGGGAAAAGCTATGAAATTTATTGTTTAAAGTCACAAAAAGTTTCTTTCCCAAACAGTTCTGGGACTGCCATCAGATTTCCATATTCCGGTAATATGATGATGATCTCAATGTCCTAATGAGAAGGGTTGCTAGTACAGGAAACCATAACCTGATAGGTTTTAGCCATCCACACTCATCCCTGTCATCGTTATTATTTGAGGGTGGAATGGGAAGGGATAAAAGGGGAAGAAATTTTAAAAAATACAATTTTGTTTCACAGCAGACTCAAATACAAGAAAACTCTGCAACAAAGGTGCCCACAAATATGGAATCCACAAATGGGAACAGCAGTTTTGCTCGGATCGACAAGCATCTGCCTAGTTCATTTGGTGGGAGCGCAGTCCACAACCTGAACTGCAGAGAAAAATACTCTCCAGAGTCCAATAATCTTCAGGGAGCCTCAAATAAACCTTTTGTTTGTTGGGCCAAAGTAGGTCAAATTTGTTTAAGCGTCACTAAGGGGCAGATCTTATTTTTGTCCCTGTACTGAAAGGCAAAAGGTACCTACTTAATTAAGGAAGGGGTTTTATACAATGATTATGCCTGATGTAGAACTGATTTTCATTTGTTACTGAATTTCCATTACCTTTTGTCCCCAGTGCCCCTCATAACAATGTGATTTTTTTAACTGTGTAAGAAGTAAAATTGATGTGATAAATCCCAAACTAGAGAAAGTCAAGAAAATATATATTATTTCCTTTCAAATGAAAGGAACAGAACTGCCTTTTTAAAAAAAAGTATGTAAAATTTCTTTTAAAAAATTAAATAAACAACCCTCTACTTCCTATAAAAGAAAGTATAGGAAAATGTCTAATTCCATTCAAAAGAAAAACAAAAACCCTTACTTTCATTTCCTACAATTTATATCTAGATCCGGCCACGTCCGTCAGGCAGTATTCAAAATGTTCCAGGGTCAAAGAGAAAGAGAATTGTGCCTGGGTGAAAGCATAGTATCAGAATGATCTCTTCCCTTTCTGTTCCCTCTCTGGTGCCTCTTTCCCCTTCCCCACCAAAGGCAGGGGCGTTGCTTAAAGCTCGGGGCTGGCGTTCAAGTTTCCGTGTTCCCAGCCGCTGGCAGGTTTGCCAGCTGCGCGAATGCGGGGGACCGGAGGACCCTCCTGGGCTCACGCTGTGCTTGGAGATGGAGCCGCTGAGGGCCGAGATGTACTGAAGCAGAGCGGTGCTTCGATATAAACCGAAACACCTTCGTTACCCCCTGCCCAGCGATCTTATTACAGTAATTGTTTCTGGTAGCGTCAGATTCATTGCATTTTTGGAGAAGATCTTAAGGTGATTATTCCGTATCAATCATAATGATCTTACTCAATCCCTCCTGCAATTTATTTTATTTATTTTTTGGTTTGGTTTGGGGTTTTGTTTGTTTTAGTTCGGATTTTTCAGCAAAGTCAGTAGTAGCTGTCCAGAGAGAAGTGCTCAGGCCTAATCCCTGGATACATAGGACAATGGGTACGGGCACCACCTAGTGGATCGTCTTGACCTGGAAAATTATTATTATTTTTTTTTTTAGGGAGGTAAGAGGGTGGGGGCAGACTGGGAAGAATGGATAGAGAAAGAGAGAGTAATGAGTTCAGGCAGATGAGGGCCAAAGATGAAGCAGGATCATAAAATGATATCCATTCAAGGGCTTAATCTCATCCAAGGATTTAAATAGAATTCATTAAATAAAATGAGTTTAGATATGTAAATGAGCTTAAAGAGCTATATATATGATGTTAGCAAGTGTTCTTTAACTCAAAAATTTCAGAGACAGAAGACTCAAAGCCCACAATTAATTTTGCCTTTGATTTCAAGTTCTTTAAAATAAATATTGAGTAGAAAAGCAAAAAAAAAAAAAGAAAATTAGTCACTTATTTAAATTCTTCTCCTTGGTTGGATTTCAAGAATCAATATTTCAATACAAATTTAAAATGTAAAAGGTTCATTTGCCATTCATCCGTGTATCAGTAATAGACATATTAATTATTATAATTATTAATTAATCAGTAATAGAAATATTAATTTTCACTAAAATATAGCTAACATTTTTCCTGTGACAATGCAAACTTTCATTCAGTTATACACATACATTTAATGAACTTCACAATCAGTCAGTAAGCAGGAATCATATCTTACTTTTTTCTATTACCTCATGGATATACCTTAATCAAGTCCCTTAACCTGTAGTCCTGAAAGAATCTGTTTACATAACACTTCCCTCAACTGTTTCAACTCTTTCCTCTTTTCTTCTTAACCCCTCTTCCCCTCCCCAGTTCTTATACTTATCAAAACTTATCATCTTCCAAAGGGAGGATGCTTTCTTTATCTCCTCTACTGCTGTATCACATATCTATATCTATATCTATCTATCTATATCTATATCTATATCTATATATATAAAACTGTATCTTCACCTGTCTCTTAGACACAGCATGTTCATCTCAGCCTTTGCAATCCATCTCAAGGTATACCTCCTTCCTTGTCTAATCTCCCCTGTATTGATCATTCCCTAACTCTGTTTCCATTAGGTAGTATCTTGCCTTTTTCTTGCATCTTTGCAATAGTCTTTCCTATATTTCTCCTATGGAGGCTACTACATTCAGTGTGTTGCACACAGTAAGAGCTTTATAAGTATTTGTTGAATTTGACTTTAGATCTTTATGTCGATGTTGTTAAAGATGTCCAATGTGATGATTAAGACTTTTGCCATTCTTTTACTATTTATGTGATTTGATAGTGTAAATGGTTATTAGTTAGAGTAAATATTATAAGAAATCATTTCAATGTAGAATGAAACAAGTAGAACCAGGAAAACAGTGTACATGATGAACACAAAAATGTAAAGGGAAAAAACAGCTTAGAATTATTTCAGAATTCTGACCAGTCCAAGCACCAATCAAATATCCAGCAACTGATGACAAAGCATTCTACCTGCCTTTCAGCAGAAAAGTGATGAACTAAAGGTGCGGAATGACTATTTTGCTTCATCATAATAATCTTTTACAGGGGAGAGCTTGGGGGGTGGGGTAAGTTACTGAGTAGAGATGCAAAGGGGGGGATTTACCTAAGCCATTATTTAATAATGTCAAGCTGCTAGGTAGAACAGTGGATAAAAGATTAGGCCTGATGTCAGGAAGACCTGAGTTCAAATCCAGCCTCACACACTAGCTGTGTGACCCTAGGCAAGTCACTTACCCTTGTTTGCCTCAGTTGCCTCATCTGTAAAATGAGTTGGAGAAGGAAGTGGCAAACTGCTCCAGCATCTTTGCCAAGAAAACCCCCAGTGAGGTCGCAAAGAGTCAGACACGACTGAAGTGACTGAGCAACAACAGCAAAATTTAATTAAGCATTTTGAAAGCACACAGAAGAAAACAAAAAGAAGTTCAGAAAAGAGCGCAAAGTGATTTTGTCAGTATTATGTTAAATTTAAAATAAATTTTAAAAAAATAAACTGTGCATAACAGCTCATGGTTTCTTAATTTTTTCTCCAAATGCTGAACTATTTATGATTATTGATAATAGTTAAGTTCATAATAAAAAAAATCAAATTAAATAATTTTACTACATTTTTGTGTTCTGCTTTACCAAAAAAAATGGAATTCTAAAAATGGAATAAATCAATAATATTTATGTTATACAAAACTAATCAGTTATTTTAAACAGTGCTAAAAAAGTATTCAAGTTGGCAATATTTTCTTGTTCAAAGACTGAACTATAAACAAAAGAGTATTCAGAAGATTAAAGGTGTGGACAGAGGAAGGAAAAGAAACTACTTCACCAACAAAAAGGTCTTATGGATGAGAAGCTACAAGCCTGCTTTTTTTAGCAAAACTTTTAAACAATAGAGTGGAAGAACTAGGGGAAATAGGAGATTTGGTAGGAACTGTTTTCATCATTGACTTGTTCCACTTAACATATATTAATTTTAAGGAAAGCTCTTCACCTAAGATTGGCATTACAAATAAACAGAACAGGTAATTTCAGGGATGCAGACATTCCTGTCTTTAAAAAATCCCATACACCCCTTCTAGATTAGCTAACATTTGAAATTTCACACTTATAGCTTCAGTCCTTTGGCCAAAGTCCAATAATATTATTTCCTATCAAAATGCCATGATGAGAAGTAATATATTAAGCCTAACTTTTCACTTATGCTTTAGCATGAATGAATTTGTCAGATCTATTCAGGAAACAAAGTGTGAAGATTCTGGGAGCCTGAGGTTAGGAGTGAAGAAAGATATACAGAAAACATGCTAGTATTGTGGCTTCAGAACCTGAAGGTAACCTTAGAGGTCACTTGGTACAACTCTCTCATTTTACAGATGGGAAAACTGAGACCTAGAGAGATTAACTAATTTACCTAATATCACATTTCATAGGAAGAGAAACCCTTAGATTTGAACCCAGGTCCTTTGACCCTAAATCCAAAACTTAATAGGAAGGAGGAGTGAGGGTGGGAGAATACAATGATAAGGGTTTTCAGCACCAAAAACAAACTATTTGACCGTTATGCCTAAAGCCAATTCTGATAATTATTGCTAATCATCACTATTGTAAATCAGAGTGACCACTCATGACCATTCACATCAAAACAAAAGAAAATGACTTTTAATTTATTCATAAGTCACATAGTACTTGTTCTTTCTTTTTCTGACACATTTCTATTTTAATAATAAAAATAATAATGGCTAGTATTTCTATAGTACTAGCTAATAATATTAGCTAACATTCATATAGTGTTTATGCTATGTAACAGCCACTGTGCTAAGTGCTTTTACAACTGTTATCTCATTTGATTCTCACAACATCCCTGGGAAGTGTGTGCTATTATTATCTCCCATTTTACAGAAGAGGAAACTGAGACAAAGGCTAAGTGACTTGCCCAGAGTCACACAGCTAATAAGGGTCTGAGGTCACATTTGAACTCAGAATTCCTGGCTCCAGACCTGGGATTCTATCCACTGCATCACCTAGCTTCTCCATTTGGGCAGTATTTTTTTTTTTAACTTAACTATCCCAAAATACTTTAGCTATGTAACTTTTCTCAATACGCAATGAATTTAGGCTTCATTTTTCAGAGCATGATTTTGGTCATGATGGACAGAGTGCTAGCTTGGATTCACAAAGATCTGAGTTCAGAATCCTACCTCTAATACTAATTAGCTATGAGTACAAGGAGTTCTCATGTCAGATAATTGTATCACGATATAGTTTATCATGAAAGGCAACAGCGCTACCGGTGTTATACTAGAGCTTGCATCTACAACCTGAAGACCTGGGTTCGAGTCTTGCTTCCAATACTTGCTACCTGTGGATAGAGGTAGTTTACACTAGGTAATTTGATCCTCTTGACACTTACTAGCTGTGTGACCCTGGGCAAGTCACTTAACCCCAACTGCCTAAAAAAAATGTATAAAAATAAAAAATTTGATCCTCATATTCCATGCCATTTCAACACTAAAGAGAACTTTTGTTTTACAATAGATGCTACTAAGGGCCTATGTCAAAGAGTCAGTCTAGCAGAGACTTCCACAGTAAAGAAATAAAAGTAGATGTGCTTTAAATTAAAAACCCTAATAATATCTGCAAATCTATGAATATATGCACACAGAATAGGTATGCATAATTTCTGAGTATGCTCATAAAATGTTCAAGCTGGAAAGAACTTTAGCAATCACTCAGCCCATCCCCTCTCATTTTCTGGTGAGGATACTGAGACCTAATTTGACTCCTCCAAAATGCTTTAAAAAAAAAATACTATCTTATTTGCTCCTCACAACAGCCCTGCTAGGAAGGTGCTATAATTATGCCCATTATATAGATGAGGAAATTGAGGCAAACAGAGGGTACATGACTTGCCGAGGGTCACATGGCTACCAGGTATCTAAGCCTGGAGTTTTACTCAGGTCTTCCGGACTCCTGTGCACTATGGCGCCACCTAGCTGTCTCTAAACATAGATTGTTACAGTCAAGATTACAACAAATTCTGCCATAGGGCTTTTTTCTTTTTTCATAAAAAAAATAATATTTTAAAATTTCCCCAAAATGACATATAACATACTTCCTCATAAAACATCAACCCAATAATGTTTTTACCTTTGTTGTTCATATTTTCTATGCTTAATTTTATAACTGAAGTAATAGTGATGGTGGATTTAAATAAGTAATTTTTTAAAAGGAAGCAAACATAATGCACTTTGCAAAGGTGGGGGCCTATGATTATGAAACATTATAGATACTGTCACACAGCCAATGTTCATTAGTTTGGCCAAATTACTTTTTTAAAATTCATATAAATATAAATACATATATACATATGAAGTGTGGCTTTCTGGGTAAGGGGAAGGATATGTTTGGAAATGAAAGTTATATAAAAACAAAAGATTTCATTAAATTTGTTTTTTAATAAAACAATCATCAAGAAAAAGTGATAGAAAAAATACATGGATAGAACAGAATACTGCTTGAAGATAGTAATCTCATTCTTAGTAATCCTAGAATAAAAACTGTGATATACTGCAGACTTTTACTTCATATTTATATCTATATTATTTTGTTTATATTTTTAAATAATAATATTTGTATATTTGGTAGAAAGAAGAAGATTTTTAACTTGTATCAATTCAAACGTTAAACCAAAAGTAAAGGGTTTTTTTTCTTTCTCCTTAAGGTTTACTTTCCCTTTTCTAACCTCCCCCCTATCAAAAACATTTTTTTTCCCTAAAGGCTCCGGTCCAAAGTCAAATATGAGCCACTCAAACTCTCCAAGGAAAATGTCTAATTAGTCAGGAGTAAATGACAACGGAGTTATTGGTGACAAGCATTTTCCATACTTTATTTAGTGCCCATACTCAATGAGGCCATGGTCAGATAAGATGTTATAAAAGTCAAGAGAATTTATTTTGAATTTTCAGTTATCATGTAAAAGAAAAAGCCATTTCCTTAAACAGGAAATGTATTAATAATGGCACAAAGGACAGTATAAGTCATACTAGAGAATGCTGTGTTTCCCTTCATAAAGTAAATAATATACTTGTTTTTCAAAGAGTAGGAATTCTTTAAGGTAGACGCTCAAAGGAGGGAGATACATCTATGTGGTTCAGCCGTTTCGGTCGTGTCCAACCCTTCATGACCCCATTAGGCAGAAATACTAAAGCGGTTTGCCATTTCCTTCTCTAGCTCATTTTACAGATGCAGAAACTGAGACAAACAGAGTTAAATGACTTGGCCAGGTCACACAGCTAGTAAGTGTCTGAGGCCAGATTCGAAGTCAGGATGGTTCCAAGCCCAGTGTGCTCTATCCACTGTGCTCCCTAGATGCCCCACATATGAAGATACAATGCTATACATGTATGTGTTTTAGTACTGCCTCTTTGGCTCATTTCCTAAGCTTAATGCACATCATTAAGAAATGAAGTTTGAAGTATCTCAGTCTTACATTTTTCATCATTATTATGTTTGCACCTTGACCAAATAAAATAACATTATTTACTTTGTATATATAATGCAGATTTTTATTTCGATACAGGTATCCTCAAACCTATGCCTATGCCTTCTTCAGATGATCAACTGTAAGTGTAAAACACATCCTATGGACCTTCCACAAATAACACCATAAGAAAATAGTCATACATTTTTGCAGCATCAACATTTTCACACATTGATAATGCTGAGCTTTGTGATCCTTTCAAAAGTGAAAATGTTTCCCAAGATACTACTGTTATTCAGTCACATAAACTTCCCTTTCATCTTTGACCATGTCATTTACATTTGACTAGCCCAGACGTTGGCTGAAACGGTGCTTCTCTGTAAGTACGTAAGTAATTGAAAGAATCTGAAAAAATGTTTTAAAAAAAAGTCTTAGAATGGGAAGGGGACATACTAAAAAAATAGGCTTCATTTTCCCAGTACATAGAAATAGCCTTCAGCTCAATATATATACCAGCTCAACCTGATTTTTTTCAATTTCATTTGGAAAATTTTCTAAATCTATGGAACTATAGGAGTTTTAACTGACCATAGCCTAATGAGAATAAATCTCTTTTATAATGACTTATTTGAAAGAGAGTAAACTAGATTTTTTCCTATCCCCTTCATATAAAGGGTTGCAGTAGGCTTTTTTTTTCATTTTGTTAGGCAGTGGGGTTAAGTGACTTGCCCAGGGTCACACAGCTAGTAAGTGCTATGTGTCTGAGGTCAAATTTGAACTCACGTCCTTCTGACTCCAAGGCCGGAGTTCTATCCACTGTGCCACCTACCTGCCCTGTAGTAGGCTTTCTAAAAAAGGTCTATGACCAGGGGCAGCTAGGTGTTGCAGTGGATAGAACACTGGCCCTGGACTCAGGAGGACTTGAGTTCAAATCCAGCCTCAGACACTTAACACTTTCTAGCTGTGTGACCTTGGGCAAGTCACAAAAACCCCATTGCCTAGCCAAAAAAAAAAAAAAAGAGGCCTATGACCATGTCACCTCCAAAATAAAGCATAAGTTTAGGCCACAATGATTAAAAATCTTTTGGGTCCTTCAGGTAGCTAAACAAACATCTAAACTTCACCGACAATAAATTATTGCTTCACTCGGTGCCCTGAATACACAGAGTAAATATGGTCAGTTAAATCAGAAGCTCTAAAGGATCTTGAAGATTGACAAGTCTAACTCCTCTTTTACAGATGAGGAAAGTGAGGCCCAGTGAGGTTAAGTGACTTGTCCTGGAACACACAGCCATTTAATGATAGAGGCAGGAGTTAAACTTTTGTCTTCTCGGTGCTTCCTCTTCTGGAAACTATTTGGCACAGTGAATAGAGCCCTGGGCCTAGAATTAGGAAGGTCTGAGTTCAAATTCAGCCTCAGATATTTACTAACCATGTAAATATGGTCACTCAACCTCTGAATGCCTCAGTTTCGTCAACTGTAAAATGGGAATGCCTCCCAGAATTGTTGTAAGGATAAAATAAGAGAATGTCTATGAAGCATTTTGCCTAGCGCCCGGCACATAAACAGCAACTAATGCTTGTTCCTTTCCTTCCAAATCCAGTGCTCTTCTAGATGCACATAATGCCTCTGCTGTTCACAGTTACATTACTGCCTGATTGTTGCCCCACCTAAAGTTCCTATTTTTAAAAAGTTCAGGCCAAAGTAGGCAAGGGACCTTCTTGGAAGCTTTGAAGGGTTTTCTCTTTGGAAAAGTAATTTGGGGGGCTAGTACAACTGCAAGTCTCCTAGATTTTTGTTTTTTTTCTTGTGTTTGTACCCCTTTGTGCTTTTAACACTTTCAAACATTATTAGAGATCCTGGGTAGATAATTTTCTCCTTGAAGTCCCTTTATACTTTGGTGGGGGGGGGGTGAGGGGCAGTGAAGAAGGAAAGAAACTTATAATCTTAGGAAGGGATAGTTTTAAGGGCAGCTAGATGGCGCAGTGGATAGAGCACAGGCCTTGGATTTAGAAGGACTGGCGTTCAAATCTGGCCTGGACACATAACATTTACTAGCTGTGTGACCCTGGGCAAGTCACTTAACCCCCATTGCCCAACCAAAAAAAAAAAGTAGGAAGGGATAGTTTTACCTTGCAAACAGTAATAGTAGGATTCTTTTGTCTCTCTGATTTTTCTGTGACTTGTGATGCCCAAGGTTTCAAAAATGGCTCAGCGGTCACCTGAAAATGAGGCCTCCATAGAACCTAAGCAAATGAAAATTTGGTCTCAACAACTCAAAACTGTTAATAGACCTGAATTCACTTTGTCTGAATCAAAAATATATTCCATTAGGTCAATTTGATCAAGGTTAAAATTCACCAGTCCATCTAGTGTGATTGGCAAGATTGCCCACTATAGAGCAGACTTGACAAAAATTTTTCACATGGGTAGAACTGCTATCCATCCTCTATCTAGTTTGATTTGTAGGGATTTAAAGAACTTGGAAAGTATGCCCCCCAAAATATTTGCCCACACCAAAACATTTCCACTACTGAGTTCTTAAATTCTATCATTCCTAATTCATTCTTTTGTGCTAAGTTTGTCCTGTTTCCATAATTCACTTGGAAAATGCAAAGTTGTTTTTATTTTAAAGGGGGGATGGGTGGGGTAGCTTTCTAGAGATAAGATTAACACCCTGGTATAAATGTATTTATCAGATCACGTCCTTCAGGAGAATACAAGGCGAAACACTCCAGAATTTTGTTTGGGACCCTTCTTGGACACGGCCTCTGTGAATGATGAATATAAGTGAAAAAGTACTCATAAAAGAGTTCAGGAATCTAGTCAGCTGAATTTCCAGTGATAATCTCAATTGCAAGATCTAGTCACAATTATTTCCTTGGATTTTATCCATGTTATTGTTTATTGCATCTTTAATTCTGGTCCTATGATATGTAAAGTATAAGGTGTTGTTTTGTCTTGTTTTGTTTTGTTTTTAATTGCCCAGGTAAAGGTGTCTGTTCACTTTCGAACAGATGGAACCCCTCAGGATAAATCAGCTACACTTGTACTTTTGTCTGAAAGTTAGGGCTGAGAGGGCACTAAGAATTCCAGGAAGCCAAAAATTTCTGAGTAATGTATGAATCACAGAGAAGAAATCTGCTGCCTTCTTTTCCTTGGAGGGAATGTTAAAAACTGATCCCTTTTGATAACATAACAAGGTCAATAGGTTTTTGAAGCTTCATTGCTTTGCCTTAACATGTCTCTTGTCATGGGGTAACAAAAGTATTTATGCCCAAGGACTGGCCAGGGAAAAGTGAGTCTCCACTCCCTGCTTAGAGTTTTTAAGCAGCTGGAACCGGTTGATCCTGGCTCTCTGAGGTTCCCAGGTTGGCTGAACCTACCAAAGGAGGGACCAGGACTTGGATTCCTCTTGCCTTCACATACACCCTCAAAATTTCATAGAACTTCCTGTGTGTATAGAAAATTGGCTTAAATGTTTGTCAAATTATTTGCATCACCAAACTTAATGTCTTCTCTTCCAACCTGCATTAATAAATAGGCTTAGCTGCTTAGCAAAGGAACTAAAAAATAAAAAATATATTTCATATATTTGCTTTCTTCCACCAGAAATTCGTAGAGACAGTGAGCCTTAGCTTTTCCAGTCTTCCTGATAATCTTCTTGCTAAATTTATTTGAACAAATGTATCCTGAGGGCTAGAAGGAAAGATGAGATACAAGGCCCAAGTCATGGTGTCCCTTTCTCAACTGAGGAATCCCCAGGCAATTCCTAATACTTTTGACTTAACCGTAGGATGTTCCAGGACACACATTCTCTCCACCAATGTCATGTTTACAAATTTCACAGTAGTAATCGCCCTGAAGGCAATGGACTTTGGAACCCTAAAAAAAAAAAAGATTGCATCAGTGTTGGAGATATAATTTTAATCTTTATTAAAATTCATACATGAATAAAACTTGACTTCTTGCAGAGACCTATGAACCTGTGTTCATCTGCATGAGATATCTAAGGACTGCTAGATTAAGCCAGATAGAGAGCTGTGTAGGGGAGTATTATGTCAACTGTTAGATTACCTTTGAAAGAGAAAAAAAAGAATATATTATAGCCATAGTTGGTTTCTGTTCCGTACTCCAAGAAAAAGGCACTTGGCAATGTTAAATTCAAGGGGGGAGAACAAAAAATCTTGTTGTTTGGTAGCATCTTTGCTGACAATTTGGAGTCATCCATTGTATTACTACTGTAGTGTTATTGAGCTAGTTTTATTAAGGCAAATTTATAGCAATGTTAGAAATTAATACCACTCTTATTTCCTCCACTGCCTGGCTTTATTGAATGCCATGGGGCATATTAATCAGTAAAGCCAAGTAGTGCATGAAATAAAAGTATAAATTAACCTGTAACATGAATGTAAAAAGGGGCTTAATAAAATAGAAATAAATAATACTTTAATGATAATCAACCCAGCCTGTCTGAACTGAGCAAAAAAAGTGTGATAATGCTAAGTATAGAATCAAAAGAACCCCATCCATTTAAATAAAGCTACACTGAAGCATTTACTGAGATGAAATCTGCAGTCAGGGCTGACAATTCCTGTCCTTCATGCCAGAAATGGTGCTGGGGTGCTTGAATTTAACAAATAGGGAACCCAACAGATAAATATATTTACTACATAAAAAAAGATCTGAACAACTAAACTACTCTGGCTAAGGTCCCTATTGGCATCAAAGGCTATTTTCCCCCCAGAAACTTTGTATAAGATCAATATGGTACAGGATAATAAGCCTTGGCTTTGGCATTAGAGGCAAAGGATTGAAGTCCTAGTGGCTACGTTATTTTGTTCATCCATATGACTTTGGGAAAGTCACTTAACTTCTCCAGGCCTCGGTTTCCTTATCTGTAAAATGAGAGAGTTGAACTAGATTTCCTCTAAGGTCCCTTCCAGATCTAAATCTAAAATGCTACGAATCGGGCAGTTGCTAGGTTTTTCCTCCTTGTGCTCTGAGACTTTTTAAAAAGACAACTGGTCTGCCACACTCATTTATTCTAAAAAAAGTTCAACATCTATAGTTGAACATTTAACAATATATTATCTTGGGGCAGCTAAATGGCAAAGTGGAGTCGGGAGAACCTGAGTTCAAATCCAGCCTCAGATACTTGACACTTACTAGCTGTCTGACCCTAGGCAAGTCACTTAATCCCGATTGCCTCATGGAAAAAAAAAATTTATAGATATGTATGTATGTATGTATGTATGTATACATGTATACACACATATAATTTTAGCAAATAAATTTCAGAATTCTTTCGATCATTCTAAGATGCCTGCTATGTCCCAAAGCCTTTTAATATCAGCATTATGCAATGATACTATATAATTGAGGAACCTTAAAATACCATCCCCCAACTGGGAAATGGAAAAACACACCCAAGGGTGTGATCAGGTCACAGCATATTTCTAATCTTGACTTGCACCTGAGAAATAGTAGACAGGGTACTCGATTTGGATTCAGATCATCCCTCTTACGCTTGATGAGCTGTGTGACCATGGAAAAGTCACTTAAAATCTCTAAACCCCAGTTTCTTTTTCTATAAAGTGCAAATAATAATACCTATAGCACCTATTATACCTCTAAGGGTAGTTGTGAAGCTCAAATAAGATGAATATGTAAAGCAGCAGGCAAACCTGAAACTGTTACATACCAGCAATCGTTATTATAAGAGATATCATCAGTTGCATGTATGAGTGAACCTGTTATATAGTAAGGATGAAAGACAATAGATGGACTGCCTAAGGTTTGAGCTAGGTGGTGCAGTGGACAGAGCACTGAGCCTGCAGTCAGCGAGATCTTCATTCAAATCCTGTCTCAGACACTTACTAGCTGTGTGACTCTGGGCAAGTCACTTCTCCTTTCTCAGCAACAGTTTCCTCATCTGTAAAATGATAATAGTAATACCTAGCTCACAGGGTTGTGGTGAAGATCAAATGAGATATTTGTAAAGTGCACTGCAAACTTTAAAATATTATATAAATGCTAGTTATTATTTTGGTATCCTTGAGATGTTCTAAGAACCAGAAGGTCTATTGCACTGAGTGGGCTCTCTGTTTACAAAAGGACATGGATGAGAAATACATAAAATGGGATGTCGTGGTGGGATTGAGATCTGCGTCAATGAGAGAAAATACTCACCCTGAGAAGAAAACAGATCCTTTCCAGTATCCAAATAGATATTTTCCTAATTAGGGTGTTATTTATAGTGTGGTTCCTACAAAATCATATTCAAAGCTACCTCAGGAAAGCAGTCTTAAAACCAATATGCTTCTGAGAAGACTGAAATAGCTTCCAGCCTCCCTACTGCTAATCTTATTTACAAATCTGAACTTTCACATGCTTTCAAACCTGGTAATGTTTTCATCCATCAAAATTCTTGCCCTTCCATGTTATTAAGATTGACTGACTCCCAAATCATTGAGCAAATAAAAGATATTCCACATACACAAGGTATTATTATTATTATTATTATTATTATTATTATTATCATTATCATTATTATTTGCACAATCTCAAATGTACAACTAATTCTACTTACCCTACAGGGTTTCATTCTGAAAGCATTACTCCAACGGATCTGTGAATTCACTGATATGTGTACCCCTTCCAACAATGCAGAGCACCCTCTCCCTGCCTGTCCCCACATCTGATAAGATTCGACTTGTCTATGTCCTCCCATAAATCTGCCACAAAGGGTTCCCAGGCATGCTGAGGGACCACTGAGTTCTTTTGATATCACCATGTGCTAACAATCAGTTACCTGCTTGCTCTTACTAGATAACCAGCCTATCTTTTTATCTGGCTCTATGTTTCTCTGATGACATCTTTCATACCACTTCTACCCAGTAATGTATTATCTGTAAGGTGTTTCAGCCTATTCAGGCTCCCTGAGAACCCCTCCACTGCTCCTTGGAAAATCCTCACCTTCAATTTTTTGGAGATTATGGTACTTCTTGCCTCACAACTATACACCATCACTGGAAGAATGTTGTTATTAGAGGAAAAAAGACAGAAAATTCCATAAAATTCCTCCTAAACATAGATATTTTTAAACCTTAATTTCTCTATCCTGTTCTTAAAACCATAACCTTGCCATTATGCGCAAGATACTACATTAGGTTCCATGGGAATTAAAAATAGGAATAAGATACAGTCTTTAGTAGGAGAAATGAGATAAACAAAAATAAGAGAGGATAGGAAGAGGTAAATGACATGAAGAGCTTCTATAAACAAAGTGCTAAGTGAGAACAAAGGAAGGAGTGGTCACTTCTAGTTGGAAGCTCAAGGAAGGCCCCAGAGAGAAAAAGCATTGGAGTAGGGTCTTCAGGAGTGTAAAGGGTTTTGGTAGGTGCAGATGGTAGGGAAAGTCACTCCAGGTAAGACGGGCACAAGCAAAGGAATGGAAATAAAAATGTCCAGAGTGTTTAATTATATGGGATTTCCCTGTGAAGTTAAAAAAGATAATATACAAGAGAAACAATCTGACTTTGTTGTTGTTCAGTTGTTTTAGTCGTGTCCATCTCTTCCTGACCCCACTTGAGGTTTTCTTGGCAGAGATACTAGAGTGGTTTGCCATTTCTTTCTCCAGCTCATTTTACAGATGAGGAAACTGAGGCAAACAGGGTTAAGTGACTTGCCAAGGTTCACACAGCTAGTAAGTGTCTGAGACCACATTTGAACTCAGGAAGACAAGTTTTTCTGACCCCAGACCCAGCGTTCTATCCATTGCACCACCTAGCTGCCCTAAAACCAATTTCTGACAGAAGTGGGATTTGACATTACAAACTCCTTAATCCTGAAATTTTCCAACCGTTTTATATAGTCATTAATGCATAAAATTAGATCATAGATTCAAAACTGAAAGGGAACTCAGAAATCATCCAGTCCAACCCGTGCTTTTACAGCAAAGCAAGTCCTATTACCTATGGATAAAGGAATTGAGACCTAGGAAGATTAAGTAATTAGCCCAAAGTCCTAAGTATAAAATACAGGATTTGAACCCAAGTTCTCTGATTCAAAGACCCCAGGCTGTTTCCACTGTAGTATACTGCCTCCTCATTGACAAGAATTAAAACACATTTTGGGGCAGCTAGGTGGCACATTGGATAGAGCACCAGCCAGCCCTGGAGTAGGGAGGATCTGAGTTCAAATTTGACCTAGCTGTGTGACCCTGAGTAAATCACTTAATCCTGATTGCCTCAAAAAAAACCAAAACCAAACAGAATGTTTGGTCCTTCATGCAATGTCCCAAAAACGTTATCAGTGGATTCAGAAAGTAACTTCGGTCTCCTAAATTCCAGTCTGGTCTTCTACATACTAGAATACTCTGCTCAGTTATGAGCTATTAAGCCTCTAATCTCAAATGTTAATATCACTAAAAACTTGATTGTTTCAGTAGTTTCCTTAGAAAGAAAACAGGATTTTTGTTTTCCCTGAATCTTCAGATGGCATTATATACCCAGTGATGCCTATATGATTGTCAGAAGTAGAATAAGAGAGCATTATTACAAGCTACTTGGAATTTCAACTTAATTAACTATAAAATTTAAAACAGGTCAAGAGATAATATTAAACCTGTACTGATAGCAAAGGAATTTTCTCACTAGCTACATCCTCAAGGCTACGTCAAATCTCATTGCTTTGATTTTAGGTATCTAGGTGTTTAACTCTGAACACATTAGTAAGTTAGCACAGAGGTTTGTGGAAGTTATGGACAATTCAATTTTTCTGAGAAACAGAACTCAAATTAGAACAATATTCATCTTTGAGTTAAAAGAGTGGACTCACTGCCAAGTCCTCCTCTCTCTTAATTTTCCTGGGATCCTAACAGGGCCGTGCAATTTAAGGACAAATATTGACCTTGGGTGACCCAAAATTGCATTAATGCAGCTTTAGTCATTATCTGTATTCTAAGCATTTATGTTACAAAAGAAAACCAAACAACAACAATAATAATTACGATAATAACCCAGCCAGCCTAGGAAACTACGACATAAAACAGTATGAGCTCCCCCTGCTGTTTCTACTGCCAAACTTAACTAACCTCTCAGACTGCTGGGGCTTGTTGCCCTGATTTTGAGGCTGATTCATAAACAAACACTAAACAAAACAAAATTAAAATATTAGCAGGCCAGGAAATCAGTGGGCAGGGAGGGGAAGGAGAAATAGGATCGTCAACGTGTTTAATATAATAAGCAAGCTTGTATGTGGAGGAGGAGGTAGCAAAATCTATCTCCTAGAATTCCAAAAGCTGCTTGAATAGGTTCCAGGGAATTTCAAAAATGGTTGTACCACTAGATCTAGACAGAGGTATTTTTCCAAGGCTGGAATTACCACTTAATTGTGGCAAATTTGCCAACTCTGTAAAGCTCTTTGGCAGAATTGGGGAGGGGCACCTCCATTAACGGCTAATCTTTGCCGGGGCTACATTTAAAGTCAACCCAAGGCCCAAAAAAACAGGATAAGAGTTGGTTTTACTTTGGGGTGGGTTAGCTTTTTATTTAAAAAAAAAAAAGGAATGTAATGACATTGAACAGGAGGCAAGCTTAATATTTAGTCCAAGTGAGATCCCAGGTCTCCTCGTGATGTTCGGTTAGAGTTCTGTAGGCTAATGAGTTGAACCATCTGTAGCACTCCGGTGGCAGATGTGTCGAACTTCCATACCATGACAAAGTCTTCTAATAGAGGGCTCTGTGGAGAACTCCAGCAACTGCTTTCCCAGCAAAAGAGACCATATAAGCACCATGTAATCAAATTTACTAAGCATCTGATTATTAGTAAATCTGCCATTTGGAATACATTGTCTTTACCGACCCAGCTCCCAGCTTTGATTTTAAAATTTTTGTTTTTTAAGGTATTATGGTTGTTTTCAGAGAAGAGTAAAGAGTGACTCATAAACTTTACATAGTATGCTTCAAATAAATTGAAGAATTGAAATCTGTGTAGTATAGTTCCATGAATATTAGTTCATTTCTGCCTACTTGCCAAAATCATCATTCTAAAACTATTTGAAATATCCCAAAGGGCTTTGGGAGAATGTGAAAAAATATGTTCAAATTCAAGAATTTTTTTTTAATTTTTAAGTAATGTTACAGTGCATTCATTTGGGAGACAGATTTCATTTAGAATTTTGTTGTATCAAGAGAAGATTCAGAATTAGGCTATGAAGAACTAAATCTTGAAAGCTTTCTTGTAAAAATAATAAACAATCTTCATAATCTAATAGATCCACATTTCATCCCATTTAATTGGCGCTATATGAGCCATTATGTGAGGATTATAATGAGTATCAAAATATTTTAAGCCATTAGAAATTAGACTAGTTTTTTAAATGACTCTATGATGTTGACGCCTAATTTACAAAACATCTGACGCCCTCAACATTTTAAATCAAGAATGTACAAAGTATAATGTACAAAGTATAAAGTATAATTATTTCTAAATAAACACAGAATATTTCTCCTTAGTTTAATACTCAAATTTTTATAGGAAGCCAACTCTTACCATCAACTATCATTTCAGAATATATGAGAACACTAATCCCTTATCATTCACAAAAGATCTCTTCAAATGATATTTTTTCTCTTTAAAAAAAATCTTTTGCAGCATTATCCTAAGAATTATATTCAATTAAGTTAAGTTGAACTTCATCTCACAAAGTGGAAAAAAAAAAAGATCACTACAGTATGCATTATAGAAATGGGGGACATCTGTTTGACAATTTAAAAAAAATTAAACTTTTTAAAAAATAAAGCTTTAAAAAGCTAACTAAAATTGGGTAACTTTATAGATTTTCCTTCTATAAGAACTTAAGGTAAAACAAATGTTTAACTGGTACATTATGATTTAAAGGGTACAATATTCTATAGGTGATCTTAAAAGACCAAAAGCCATAAGGTGATTAAACCAATGGAAAATATAAATGTATTAAGCAAGAATACATAGATTTTAAAATGAATATATGCAGTATTTAGTTGTGTTCCTTTATTTCTAAAAGGTGTTTAAGAATAGTGTTTCACAGAAAATGCATCACATACAGACAACATCACTAACGATTTTTTTATCTACTAATATTATTCCATACATATTTCAAATGTATTTCCCCCAGTAGGAAAATAAAACAAATTAGACTGATAGTAGGATTGTGACAATTCTTCTTCCTGCCTATAACCTCCTAAAATTAGATCTGCCTTCACACAATATTATTACAAGAAGTTTCAATTCAGGTTATCCTGACTCACTATAGCTGGCCTTCATCAATACGTGTGACATTTAAAAAGAAAAGTTTTCTTTACAACCTTCAGCCTGCTTTTTGTTATAAATTTCTAACACGGTATTAGTAATAATAATTGATTTTAGCAGTAAGTAATAGAGTTATAAACAGCTCCCAGGATTTAATGAAAGAAATGCCTCAGCCCCTGGTTTTATTTATTAGTATTCAAGGAATCTCGGCAACCCCACTAAGATCAGTTATGGCTTAATTAAACCAGAAAAGATGGCCTGCCAATGACTCTTTGTTCTTAAAATAAATACTGTATGTTTTCAATTTTTTTGCAAATCATCATAAATTACTTATATTTGGTTGTATGTTGATTTGGCCCCAGGCCCTAAATCTACCTCCAAAATTAACCACATTTTGCCTTGACTGTTTATCAAATAATGTTCTTTTTTTTTTTACAGTGTCCAATTACAAATATCCACTGAAGAGGTTTTTGCTTTATTAGCCATTTGAGAGTTATTCATCTCAGAGTCCACAGCTAAACCAATGACAGTGGAGGCCGAGGCATGACCATGGTAGAAATATTTGCTGCTTAGAAATGAGCAAAGTTAGACTTACTGCATTTCCTTAGTGCAGTATTTGTAGGAAGGCTCCACCATCATTACATGTCCTGAACATACAGTCAATCATATCTACAGATGAAAAAAAACAAAAACAAGGCTGAAAATTCACTGGGGCAGCAGTTTCTCCATCAATTTTCACGTGAATGATTTCTGTTTTAAGTCCTATTGAGAAAGGATGGCATCTGTTTGGTCTTTACTTCCTCTTCCCCTACCTCCTTTCCCTCGCTTTTTGCCTATCACTCTATCTGTCCCTTTTCGGTCACACTGCAGTGATCTCCCATTATGATCATGAAAAGAATCAACCCTACCCCTTTCGACTATGGGATTAAAGGGCGACATGAGTGGGGACCCTCTGCTGCCACTAGCTGGCGCCATAGCTCCAAAAATGCCCTGATATATTACCGCATATTTTGCTAATTACAGAAGATATTTTTAAATATCATGTAGTTACTCAAGGAAAATGAGAAATATTTTGGATTGTAGATGTACAGCAAAAGTGAAAAAGATTACAATGAAAAGAAAATGGACATTCCCATGCACGTCTCTAAGCTATTGTCTTCAAAACAGAAATGTCTAGTAAAAAGAGTTCGTTTTAATTCATTTACTTGGTCTACCAAGGGGGAGATTGGAGGCTATTGTTTTCTTTACAAACCACCCCCTTTCTATATAAAACAGCAAAGATTTTCACATTAGGTTAGGTTGGGCTAACCTACATGAGCCGCTTTTTTATTATGCCTTTAGTCTAAGAGATAGACGTAGGACATACCAGGGTCACTCACACAAAGCTGCTTTACTGCTGTTGCTATTAATTCACCCAGCCTGTCCCTTTCCCAACCTCTCTCTCCCTAATAACGAGCTAACACTTTCCCTTCTTGTCCATGGACACAAATACTGTCTCAGATTTGGCCCCTCCCTGCCTGCCTTTAGCACAGGCTGCACACTGCCCTTCCAGAATCTTCCATCCCCAAAGCTTCTATGGGGAGGAGCCTGCCTGAGCAGCTAAGGACACATCGCTTCCTGCAAACAGGCTCTCCCTGGCAAATGCTCAGGAAGCAGGAGGATTTGTCCACAAAAGAAACTCTTGGCATGTAAATCAGATATACTGAGATTTAGGCCAGAATCAAGTAAATCTGAGCGTGCAAGCCAGAAGCATAAACTTCCCCAGGAAATGTTCTTTTGCAATATGAAAAAATATCTCTTTCCAAGGAAAATCCATATAACAAGCTGAATCATTTTGGCAAGGGAAGAGGGAATGGGCCAAAACCAAAATGAAATAAAATAACCAAAAACAAAAATTACGTTTTAATTCTTTTAGGCAGACGGTGCGACTCATTCTAACCATGTGGTCAATATTTCCCATTTATTTCTTAATATTCTCCATTTTCCATCTTCTAGCTTTAAAGGAGAAAAAAAAAAACTTGAGGATTTCATTTCCTGACCCTACCCTCTAATTCTTGGAAGAAATTCCTTTTTCTTCTGTTCTGTGCCTTGGGAGGGCTAGCTCAACTCCAAACGAGACAAGAATGTACTCACAGAGTGGAACTCTCTGTACACTGAACACACATATTGAAACAGAAAATAATTCTATCTGTTTCAAGAGCTTTGCAGTCTAAAAGCTTCCCTGATCCTTGCTTTCCCCTAGGGCAAGTTAGTGAATTATCATTTAATCTCCCTGGATCCAGCCTGAGCTGGGGCATAGAGTGCTCCACAGAGCAAATCAGTGAATGTTTTCATGACTTTGCTGCTTCCTAATTGAACAAACCTTTGTTAACTAACTCTTTACTAACTATGCCTGATGACCCTGAGCTAGAATTTACCACTTGGGAGGTAAACACATGTTACTTATGTAAAAATTATGCCAACCCTGGTTGGATTGGAGACGCTTGTAATGTGATTAAATATTAGACTTAGTTCCTTGCTTGACTTCACTAGGCTTTTCAAGGGGAGATGGGGATGATGATGGGGAGACTGCATTAATCAAAATCTGGAATGACGTGCTTTTTGATGCAGACCACAGTTATCTTTCTTTGCAAATTGGCCTTGACCTAGAAGTGGCAGCATTGAGACAAGGGGGTCCTTCACCTGACCCCAGCACATGGCTCTGAGCCGCAGGGCTCTGCTTTTGTGCTTTTGCGTAGTTTAATTCATATTCCACCCAACATGCCATTTTATTTCCAGTGGAAATTGTTCATTTAATTGCACTGTAAGTTTTATGGGGTATGCCCCAGGCTGCATTCTTTATGCTAGGCATTTCAGTATTTATGTGAAGAACTATACTCAAAACTTCGTACACAAACTAAAATCAGCAAAATATGTCCTCCTCAGGTTCCATAAATAGTTTTTACCAGTTTCATTATTTTTTTTTTACAATGAGAGTAAATGAGTGTATTAAACCCATAACACAGTCTATTACTTGGCATCTCTATGTGCTGTCATCCTTCCTATTTGAAAGATGATGGGGTCAAACTTTCCTGTGTTTAAAGATGTGACTAAAACAAGCAGGGCATAGCCAATCCTGTGTAATTCCTATCCCTTTAAGAAACAACTAGAACCACATCTTGACTATACTGAATAGCAGAGATGTCAGACTCGAGCAGGCAAAACTCCCTACCTAGTACAGCCAGAATCAGACTTAAATATGATTGGGAAGTGTTTATATATTTATATATAATGTATATAATTGGGAAATGTTTAACAAAAATAAATTAAAACTCAATAAAACATAGATAATGTTAATTTGCCGCTTTCTAAGTAAATATGTGGCCTTCAGGGATTCATTTCTATTAGAATTTGACACTGCTGCCCAGCATTTTAATTCATGGAACTAAAGCATGCTTTAATTTATTCATATACTCAGTACTCACTTTTAGATCACAGCTACATTGCTGTAAATAAATATAATGGAATGTCCTTTGGATGCTGGCATTGGGGGATAGGATTACCATCTGTTTATAGGGCAAACACCTTATGTCAGTTATTTGTAGCAAAGATACTGGAGTGGTTTTCCATTTTCTTCTCCAGCTCATTTTACAAAGAGGAACTGAGGCAAACAGGGTCAAGTGACTTGCCCAGGGTCACAGAGCTACTAAGTGTCTGAGGCCTGGTTTGAACTCAGGAAGAGGAGTCTTCCTGATTCTCTAGACCAGGGCTCTATTGACTTCAACACCTAGCTACCCCAGTCAGAGGACCTGGATTCAAAGCTGGATTTTCTTCATATACTTCAACCAAAATTATATACTGCAGCAGAGGATATGAGAATCCAGTTGTCTTCTATTAAGCCAGACTTTAAAGAAATTTGCAAAAATATATAAAAATAATGCTACTCTTCTCACTAATTTTTTTTTGTTTGGAAAAGCAAAGCTATCTTTCATTTTTAAAAGTCATTTATGTTAAAAAAAAAAAAAAGTAAACAGCAGAGAACAAAAGAAAACCTACAAAGAAGCAAAGAAAAGATGGACAGCTTTCAACGTAATGCAAAGTATTTAATATGTAGGCTTTCTTGAAACGAAAAGTTATTGCTATATATTCTGAATCCTCTCCTATGTTCTGCTGTGCACATGACATGTATTTTTCTTTTCTTACTTTATAAAGTTTATGTTTCTTTTTCTTTCATAATGTACTTAAGTTTTACTGTTTGTCTAAAATAAATTTTTTTTAAAAAATAAATAAAAAGCCATTTATGTTAACATGTAATGGATTTGTTATTATTATTACAGAGCATTGTTTCTTGCATAGAATCTACAAAAAAATAATAGATCAGTTCTAACTTTTGGAAGCCATTCCCCTATTACATTTAAGTAAGCTAAAATTGACAGCCAAAATTATGCTGTTACCTTTAAGGAACAGGAAACAACTGAGCTGTTTCTCAAGACATCCCAAGACAATGCTAGAACAGGACTAGCTTCTTGTTGTTCATTCATTGCAGTTGTGCCCAACTCTTCGTGACCCCATTTAGGATTTCCTTGACAGAGACACTGGAATAGTTTGCCATTTCCTCCTACAGCTCTTTTTACAGATAAGGAAACTGAGGCAAACAGGGTTAAATGACTTGCCCAGGCTCCAGTAAGTGTCTGAGAGTGGATTTGAACTCAAGCAGATGAGTCTTCCCAGCTCTAGGCCCAGCACTTTACCCATTGTGCCACCCGGACTAGCTTACCTTGTCACAAAAGGATCATATAGTAGATGATTTTTTTCTTAACATCGTATTCAATTAACTTCAAAGCAAAGTACAAAGCTTTTTAAAGAAAAAGGTTCTCAGTTCATACTTGGCCATCATCAGCAATTTATTACCATATCTAGCCAAAAGAATATTGGTGCAATATCACAAAAATAAAATACTTTCATTGTCAAAGACATTTATTGAGCATCATTTGTGTACAGGACTTAGAAAGAGTAACATGAGGGAATGTTTCCTGTTTTTAGATTTCAAGAACAGAAGCTAGGGAAAGCCTTCACAAACATATTTATCAGACATATGTTCACTAACTGGAATCTGCCAGTTCCATCACTGCCTTATGCCTACCAGATTATGGTCAGCAACAATAAGTACCAGGTTCGCCAATTTCCCCTTCCTGCTTTCACATGAATAGACCCACAAACCTTCAATCAGAGGAATTCCGATTTCTCCAAGTACACACACACACACACACACACACACACACACACACACACACACACACAAACATGTGATAATCTGCCTCTAAGTCCTGACCCTATAACACAGGTTCTCAGAAAGACATTTGAAATTCACTGAAATAACAGATGGGAAAGAATTTCCTAGACAAGGAGGGGTAAATTCATATTTCCTGGGGGCCACAACTGAAAGTGACTTTTACCTGCCAAATCATGGTAACTATGCTGAAAATTACCTCCCGCAGGCATGCCAACAGAAGCCATCTCAAATGATCAAGAAGCAGGAGCAAAAGAAGGCCTTTATGCTCCATTCTAACTGGGTGGCACAAGAAGTAAATATGCTAGTTTCTGTCTCCCTGGTTGATTGATTGATTGATTGATTGATTGATTGATTGAACCAGTGGAGATGTCTAAATCTATTCTCATCTAGTTCATATCTGTGATAGATTGATTCAATGGGAAGTCTGGTCACCTTCCATCTTTACCTAACAAATACTGAAAGCTAAGTATCTGCAAGCTTTTTTTAATTAGCAAACCTTTGTTTTCTACCTTTTAAAGGCCACACTGGAGAGCCAATTAGTGTGTTAGAACTCTTTAAATGAAGAACATTAAGTTAAATCTCAGGACTGATATAGTAGTGTTTCTGGAGCCAGGGAAAAGAAAGAATAAATATCTACTTTAATGATTTCTTTAAACTTTCAAACACTATCCACAATTCTTGGATCCCATGCTCCAGGTTTGATGCAACTTTTGAAATGTCAGTTTTTTAAGAAAAACTTAAGAACGTAATCTAATCCCAATTCCAGAGGACCAATGATGAAATATGCTACCAACCAAGGTATGGAAGGCAATATGTATTTCCAGACTTACTCAATGAGGGAATTTGTTTTGCTTGACTACACATAGTTGATATGAGGTATGAGGTTTTCTTTCTTTCAATTGGGGATGAGGAGGAATAATTAGGAAGGAGAAGGGGACTATCAAGAGATTTATCAGAAAGAAAAAAAATAAGAAAAGTATCATTGAAGGATTTTTTTAGATGCACAGACTGAAAAAGAAGGGAGGTCAGCAGGAAACACAGACAAGGACAGCTTTGAAAATAACATGTTCTGGGCAAGTCACTTAACCAAAAAAAAAAAAAAAAGAAAGGAAAAAACCCAAAACAAAACATGTTGACTTTGTTGCTTACTTGAAGCAAGCTGTACATGCATATAAAAGGCAGATTCATGCCTGCATG